CCAGATTTCTTCATATCCTTTCACCAGTCCTCTTCGGTTTTGCATATTCCACCTTGACAAACTTTAAAGCAGGCAGGCTTGCAGGTAACATTTCCAGCAGCTGCTGTTGAGCATACTGTTACTGACAGGAAGCCAAAAAATGCTTTAAAGGGTTTTTTCGTATCTCATGAGCTTAGCATACATAGGGGTAACCAAATTCTGCTCCTTTCCTTCCGCTACAGGCAAGGTTCATTAAAATTCTATCCTCCTTCGCCTTTACTTCACATTGTCATGTTTTCTTTGAGCCTTGCTCCTGCTTCAGGCTTAGCAGGTTGACTTGTTCTACTGATAGAAAGAAAGATCAACATTACAGGCTTTTCAGCAGATGACTTTGAGGTCTTGAGATACACAATGCCCCCATCGGTAAAAAACGCTGCCAGCCAAAGCAGCTGTCGTCACTGCCCAGCATATTGAAGTGGTGACCAGGAGGAAGTCAGAGCTTTTTCGGGATTGACTTTTTGTTTCTCAGTGACATTTTCTTGCAGCTACACTTAAAGATGCCAAAGGGACTTGAAATCCATGTGAACTAAGTGTCAAGCAGATGTCCAGGATAACATGGGGGGAAAAAGGACGCAAAGCTACATAGTAAGACTGTCTATAAATGCAAAAACACACACATTACAACCTATCTGTATTTGTTTATGACTTGACAGGTTTAAACTAACCCAGAAAAAGAAAAAAAAATGAGGGCAGGCAATTCAAGATGTTTACAAAAATGAAACATCTTCATGCAGGGAAAAAGAAGGAGCAATTTTGAAACCCCAGCTGGTGTAAGCACCACGATTGCTAAACTGTCAAGAGGAATTTAAAAAAAAAGATGAGTGCAATTTTGCTTTTCAATTTCCTTCACACTGTCTGAAACCCAATTCTGTCTAACCTTTTTTCTTGAGAACTGTTGAAAAAAACATTATGAAGTACTGTCCACAATTTGGCAAAGGCCTTTTCTTTTTTCTTTTTTTTAATGGCCAAGCTACTTAACTTAAACAGTGCCTCATTCTCATTGGGAATTCAGAGAAATTACAGAATAATAAATAGAAGCAAATCCAAGGGAAACTAAAGCGACGAAAAACACATTCAATCATGGAATACTATTTTGTATGATGCTAGACGTTGTGTTGTCACTCAAACTTATCTCCAACACTTGTGAGGAAGCACAGTGAAGGGATTTTAGTGCAAAACTGCAAATTAAAAATAAAAGTCTGAGTGGAGAGAACAAACTAGAGCAGCTTCCGAAGTGGCTGCCACTCTGGACTAATCTTTAAAGTGACTCCACGCATGCCGACTACGTAAAAAGCAAGAGAAAATGAGATCATTATTAGGAATGCCAGTGTAACAGATGTGTGTATACATTATGTCAACAAAAACCATAAACAAGTTCTGCCAAAAGTTGATAAGCAGGCTGTCACAAAGCTGTTCTTAGCCAGTTGGGATACTAATCTGTGCAACGTGGCCTTCAGAGACGGAAGACTGAGAAAATGAAGGCAGCCACAATGAAACGTCATTTACTGTGCATTTCCATCATTATTAATGTTTACTATGTGTCAGAGCATAATTATTCCTTGTAGAGTAATATTCACAGATCCACAAATAAAAAATGGCATATCAGCAGCTTAGTGGTGCATTTTTAATAAAGTTTGACGAATTATGCCAGGCCACCGTGCTTTGTCGCAACCTCTTTTAGCTGAGTGCTTCTCATCTGTCTAAAAAAAGACGCCCCCGGATAAAGTTGTTCTCTGTGATCACGCATTCTGAGCATTAAAAACCCCGAGACTAGAAGGTTAATGGGATTGCTCCTGTTTTGCTTCTGGCCGAGGTCTGCACGATGGCTGGAGGGGCTCTAAGATGATGGCCAAAACCGGCTTAGCGGAGACAAGAGGAAGTCAAGCCAATTTTCACTTTGTTGGTTCTCAAGCTTTGCCAAGACATCCAATTCCATCAGGCCTTTGCTGCTAGGGCAGCTGATAGAAAGGGGCTCAAAGTCTACTAGCTTGAAAGATTATTTCCTTATCTTCTAATGGCTCTGAGAGGGGATTTTTGGAAGTAATGATATCATAATAACAATCACATGAAAGGCTGCCAAAATGCTGCAATACAGAAAGAAACTACAAGACCAAGCAAAATATGCTTTAGGGTACTTGAAATTATTTTAATCTAAAAACTAGAAGATTTATAAACATATATGATAATGTGCTGGTAAAGATTCTCAGTCATCCAAGTCACAGTCATTCTAATGAAAGTAAAAAAATAAAAATAAAAAACAATCCCTATATACAGTATGTTTAAATATATGATAACCTTCCAAAATATGATGAACAGTTTTATTGACAAAAGAAAAAAGGAATGGGAAATTACCTCTTCCAACAAATGAAAATGCATCGTAAATAAAACAAAAACAAAACATCAATGATGAATAAATTCTTGTCATAATTTTTCAGAAAAAAGTAATAACATTTGAGTAATACAGTTGAGATAAGTGATTTCAAAGGTTTTCTTCCTGAATAGAATTAATTTTGTTTGACTGACAAGACCCAAGCTTTTTGAAACAAAAAAACAACAATAAAAGAAACACTCACTTTTCATTCTATAATATTTTTTGTCTTTAAATGTAATAATTTTTCAGCTCAACATCCTGCGCTTGTTTAATCCCAGATAGTAAAATGTCTGATCAGTTAAGCGACTGCCTTAAAAATGTAAGGGCTGGAGAGGTTTTTACTGAACCTGTTTGTAAATAATACAAATATATATTTATCTCCATTTTGTTACTTTGACAAAAGGAGCAACTTAAAGAGTGGCATACACCAGATGCTACATCAGTAACATCTCCACTAATACAAGGAACCATTGTTGGCTTTTCACTGCCTTTTAACTGCACAGGTTCCATTTTACTATGGTGCAGTTACTTTGGTAACTTCTGCCTGAAGCATCAACCAGTGTCAAGGTCATGATTTTGGCCTCTTTTTACGTAGTACATTTTCAACAATTCATACTGCCCGAAGCACTTTACAGACTTAGAAACAAATAAGAAAAAAAAGCACTAAGATACAATAGAGTTATTAAATAAATTCAAGAATGCAACAAGTGAAATAAAACAACTAAAATAATAACCATTACGGCGCTTAAAAAAGTTTAAGACAACTTGTGCTTTCCATCAAAATGTGATTTTTGTAGAGATTCAAAATGTCTCAGTGTTTGTCTAGATCTAATATTTAAAGGTATACATGTACTATTCAAAGGTCTGGGACCAGCCGATGAGAGATCTATGTCACCCACCACAAAACTTGAGTTTAGACCTTGGAATAGATAAAAGATAACTTTAACTTTAGCAAAGTTTGCAAAGAGAGAAATAAACTTTTGCCTTTTGCAACAAGCTGATATTTTTTGCATCACAAATGGTGCAAACATGCTCTTGCGTCATTTACTTTTTCAATCAACTTAATATGGAGATATTTCTGACAAGGACAACTACAACAAGGATAAATTCAAACATCTGTAAAGTAAATCTAATATCCTTTAAAAAAAAACGTTTGCCCCCTTAAAAACGTCATGACTTCAAAGAAAAAGGGGATTCAGATTCCACAAAATAACAACTGAAAGTATTTGTAAGCCGCTTAACTGGTCTTTTGTAAATTGAAAAGTTGGGAAAAAAGGTAATAGTTTTTTCTTTTATTCCTTTTTTTTTCTTTCTTTTTTTTTCTTGCTTTTTATTTTTTAGTCCAACTGCTTTTAATGTTCTTTCTTGTTTCTGCATCTTTTTTATTCTTTATTTTTTTCTTCTACTTGCTCTGATTGTGTTTTATTTTCCTATATTTTAATCATGTAAAGTACTTTGCATTGTCTTTGTACTGAATTGTGCTATACAAATAAATTTGCCTTGCCTTCCTATACAGCCAGCTTACTACCAGTTTTCAGGTGGGGGGTTGTATTACTCTCCATGTGTGCCGGATGGAAGTTTGATTACTTCAGACTTTAAACTGGCATCTTATTAAAACCAGTAGATGTTTTAAATATTGCATTTATTTTTAAAACATTTATATGCATTCTTTTTAGAAGCAAGGTCAATGAGAAGGTCAATGACAACACTATTTAGCTCTGGATGTGCTTCTTCAGGTATACTATACCTGCAGTAAGCAAAAGTAAAATAACCGTCAATTACATACCAAAATTCACAAAGCATATGCTTCCTAATGCCTCTAGATTTGTGGCAATTTTAGTAATTGGTGAAATAATGCAAAATCACAGCTTCAGTAAATTCCTTCCTTCACACTGCAAATCAATCCAGTTTAAAATTCCATTACAGATATAGTTATATTATTTTAAAACAAATCCAACATATCTGTTTTAGAGAAATAGTTCACACGTTTGGTGTTTTGCTTTCTGACTCACCAGGGGCTCTGTAGAAACCAGTGTCTTCCTCATTAAGAGGCAGCAGGTAGACTTCACCTTCCTTCCACAGCAGGGGGTACTCCAGGCCTCCGGAGAACTCTCCCCACCAACCATCACGGTCTGTGAGCAAATTAAGTCTTAAACTTAGGAATCTCATTATCTCCCTTTAATTCAGCAATGGTGAGAACATACATCTCCTAATGGTTAGAGTTTGCAAAGATAACGTTCTGTTTAGATCATTTCAGATATTAAATTGGCTCTTTTTTTTATACCTGACATTATATCTATCGTCTATCAATTTATACACATCAAAATAAAAAAATAGATATTGACTATGTCCTACTTTAATAAGGGAACAAAAGAAATTTGGTTTAAATTTAAATTCTTTGCAAACTTCTTTGCTGGAGTTTCATGCTGCTGGGAAAAAAAACAGCTTTCAGTCATACAAGACAGTTTTCAGCAATTTATACACTAAAAGTCTATTTGATTAATTGAAAACAAGCTTTATTAGCTCCTGTCATTTCATGAAAGATTTGATAATTATTTAAGGTTTTATAAAAATAAAAAAAACAAGGTGATTTTGGCAGAATAATAGGACTATAATAATTCAATTACCTGGCTTTTAGTAAAAAAAAAAAAAAAAAAAGCAAACATTTCATGGAAATTAATTTGCAGAATTGTTGTCTTATGACAATATTTTCCATTAAAATGAATAGTTTTTTCAGCATTTTGGGTAATTTCTGTTCACAGTATTTTCAGAGATATGAAATTGCAGTAACTTAATGACATATGTTATTAATACACTTTAAAAATACTGACACGGTTCCAGCATCATTTGAATGATTTTATAGCTTATCTATAAAATGTATTTATTAATTTAACATAAAACTCTTATGAACATTCCACAAACATACAGCTGACCAGAATTATGTTTTGAGGTGAGGCTGTTGATGTATTTAGCAAAAAATAACCGTGAAGGTTGAGAGATCAACCAACCACACAGTTCCCTCTGTAACCCTATTTGATCTACTGAGCTCTCAAAATGCTGACACAGCAGCATTTTCTTACATATGAGGAAAGGGTATTCAGCGCTTTTATACCTGAGCTATCTGGCAGGCCAAAAAGAAGTCTTTGTTTGTCACCCCTCATGCCCCTTTACCTCCACTATCAAAGTAATAAAATGCATTGTGCTTTAACAGAAGATAATAAATTCATAACTCAAACAGAAAACCAGAAAAAAAAATGGTTGATTAAAATTGACAGTTTACCTTCAGTAAAGTCTGATGTAATAACCGTGGCTCTGTAGTGACTGGATGAGTAGCAGGCAAGGGAGTGACCAAAGCAGAAACACGGCTGGCAGCCTGCTGGGTGTTCTCTCTGCATATTGAAAAATCCTGGCTTGCACCTGTAGGTTCATACACAAATGTGCAAACAGTCATGCTAAAAAAAAAAAGAATAGACAATGCAGATTATGTACCCACGCCTGCTTTAGAGCAATTAATGCATCCCACATTCTTACTATCTGATGAGATTTAGCCCCAAAGCCACTGGCTGATGATGTACACTACGGGGCTGAGGAAGAAAGGAATAAGTGAGTTCAGCTGTGAGGTCCATGAGCTCTGACCTGTACACAGCTACTAGCATATGGGTGGGACAGGAACATCGCTAAAAATCACCCCTTGCAGTGGGAACATTACACAGGAGAAGAACTTGTTCAATGAGCTGTGAAATTCAGTGGGAAAAAAAGTCAAACAGGGAGCATATAATGACTCAGCGGTCCAGGAGTGGGAGATCTGGAACAGTGTGTGTTTCAAGAGAAACAATGAGTGTATCAGTTTGATCATATGTCCTGGAGGAAAATCTAAAAGATAGAAACTGTTGATTACTGTGTGGTAGCCGTCAAAGCGAGCAGCGGTACACAAAATAGGAGAAATGTTCGCCTTCTCTGTCTTTAAGTCTTTTTTTCAGTTTGCTGCATCTGTGTAAAATTGTGACCTAGCTTCCAGGGATAATCTGTGCTATTCATATTGGGGAACATTATTTCCCAATATTAGTAGATATAATGTCACAGCTGCAAGCAAAAAAAAAAAAATGTTTTTATTGTAAGGGACTTTGACAGTTACCCTAGCAACCACAGGCTACATACGCACATAGGTGACATAACTGCCCAACCTCTCACCCACCTATTACAGCTCTGCCCCTCCACATTCTGTTTGCAGAAGCAATGCCCATCCAGAGGGGAGCAGTGATCCTCACTCCCGCTGGGGTCACAGTTACACGGCCTGCAGAGAACAAATGGTGTACAATGTATTATTCTTAATTCTTTTCCATTTCAATCTGTTTCAATCATTTCCTAGAAGTAGCCTTTGTGAAGCAGGCTTTAAACCTTGGAGCAAAGTTCTCATCAGATACCTCAGAACACTTACGTCAAGCATGCCTGAAGGATTGTTTGAAGTCAACAAGGACTCAGTTTAGAGTCCTTTTTTGACACTTCGATTTGTGTTTTTTATGCTCTCAATGCTATGATCAACTAATGAATAGTGGTTAAACTGTTGTTTTCAACAGAATAGAATAGAAAATTCCTTTATTTACCCACAATGGGGAAATTCTGGTCTTTACAGCAGCAAGATTATACAAAAAATGGTCACACAAATGTGGACCTTAGAAAAATGGAGAGAAATAACATAAGAGTGAAGAGTTAAAAGATGAACAATAAAATACTGTACTGTAAAGCATTTTAACAATATAAAACTGGAGAATAAATAACCAATTTACAGCTGTGGACATTTTTACAGTAATGGATATTTGAAAATAGTACCAACATCGGAGATGTGCAAAATGACAGCAGCTTTTTTATTGAACTGACTAAGATAGAAACTGTGCAAAATCAGCATGAATGTAACAACTAATTGAGGTTGTTGGGAACAGTGATGGCTATAAGGTGCTGGGAGGAAGGATCTGTGATAACGCTCCTGGTGCTTTTAGGGGAGAAGCAGTCAGTGACTGTAGGAGCTCTGCAGTTCTGCAACAGCTTCATGCATGGGGTGGGAGACATTATCCAACAGAGATGTTAATTTATTTAGCTAGGATCTGTTATCTGCAACAAATTGCATACTCAAAAATTGTCACCTCTTGGTTCCTTTTCTCCTTTAATTGTTGTGCAAAATGGATTTTCTTGCAATGTTTTAACTGGTTTAAAAATTTTGATCAAAAGTTAATATGAAGAAGAGCAAATACGTTTTACGGCACTGTAATCTGATAGCAGATGGACAAGCTTCTCTTGTAAAGTGTCTTGTGATAACATCTGTTATGGAATCATACTACCAAGAAAAAATAAAAGGACTGACTTTTCTTACAATATTATTGAATGATGTGTAGAGTGTCTATGAAAAAAAAAAGATGTTTGTCTATAATAGAATTTTTTTTGATTGGGTTTTGAAAATAAGGACATTAATCCTGGTTAATTTAGTGACAAATCATGTTCACTGACACAAGAAAGTAGATTTAAGAGACAACTGTTAAATGAAAGACACAGTCTACCATGAATAACAGTGATAAGAGCATGTGAGATGACAGTCATTTGAATTATGTTGAAATGTGTTTGATTGTGTTTATTGATTGATTCCTTTGTTTGAAACTGTAACACAGAATCTATTTCAACGAGGTGCCATTATAAATAATTCAATTATCCCAAGGCAAGCTGCCTATACTTGTTTCTGCTCTAGTGGTTCGGGTAATTTACACCTCAGCTAAACAGCCGGAGTTTGCTGCATGACTGACAGTACAGATAGAGTGTGTGTGTGTGAATGCTGTCATAAGCTTATTGACAGTATTCTGATAGCAGTTTTCTGCTTTAATGAACAATCTCTATTATCTATGACAAATATATTTATATAGACCATGAATGTCAGAAAACAATAGGTTTTAATTATAATTACTGTTTTTAAGAAATGCCTCTTTTGACTTATAAATGTTTTAAATCAAACCTGTTTTTAAAACAAATAAACTACACTTCATACTTCAGAGTAGGGCATAATTTTAAAATATTTTTTTGACTAAATGGGGTAGGTTTAAAGAATTTTATTGATTTAATCTTTGATCATAAACAAAGAAAAATCCCCTTCCAAGTTGAGTTATTAAACAAATATTCAATTCTGTGATTCTTTTTTAAACCATAAAGGTTGTCTAATTTTGGTTAAATTCATAACCTATTTACTGCTAATCACTAGATTAACAGCTATTGTATCACTCTATTTGCCTATAGTATTGTTGTAGAAACATGTCTACCTTGCATCTGCTTTTAAAACCCCACCATGCTGTGAGTTATCAAGGTATTTGGAGTAAGGTAGCAGGAATAATTGTAGAGTCAAACAATCATTGATATGCAATTCAACGCTATTATAACTTAGCATTCCTCGGGCAGCTACAGTGTGTGCAGGGATAGTCTTCTCAGGAATTTAAATATGACAAAATATTCCTCCGGCACACAAACGCACCATCCTGAACATTAACATGCAGGGATGCATGCACAGTTATTTATCATGAGTGGTCCAAGGTCAGGCAAAGTTAAAATGCCCCTTTTTATCTGAAGAAAGCATTCGCTGGGTCAATGCATCTTCAAGATGCGATAGGCTTTCAGCCTCCACAGTCTAAGGTCTAAATGTAGATCATACCTCAGGAATGAAAGTAACTCTGCTTGCCTAGAAATCAATTAAAACCCCCCTGAGCTCACTCTGGTACTGTAGCATGCTTAAATTATCAATAACAGAGTCAAGTTCAAAGACAGAAAAACAATAAACAGAATGCGGTTCTTGAACAGTGTTTTACCAATGGGACATTGAGGAAGAAAAGTTCAAGGTAATTTCCACTTTTTGTGATCATATACACACACACATATATATATATATATATATAATGTTAACAAACAGTAGCTGTGAAAAAATTACCTATGAAATACCTGTAAAGTTGTGTGAAAGAGGTCTTTGTAAAAAAAAAAAAAAGTAACCTGCATTTACCCCCCATGTGCTGAAAAATTTACCTTGCATAAACACTATAGTGGGTTTTTTCTGAGCTGGCTGCTTTAGTTAAGCCTGAAAAAATGCCTGGTGATAAAGTTAATAAGTGACACATCACAGCAAACCTATAAATCTAAAAAAGAACAAAAAATTCCAAAGGAGTTCTTGTAAAATGTGAAGCAACGAGGTAGAGGCATCTATAAAACAAAGCTAAACCAGAGATGGGCCTTGCAACAGGGCAATGATGGGTCCCTGTTTTCAATCACCATAGGATTGGGTGAAAATTATTCAATTAGAAATCCTTCATTGGGTCAATGCCAAGACTTTGGTTCCATATAGTCGCTGTGACTTAAAATAGGCTGTACATGTAAGGAATTCCCAAAAAAATTTAAAGCTGAAACTAAGGGACGGCACATGTTTTCCTTAGATCAATGACCATAAGTGGTAGGTGAAAACAACAAGGATCCCACAGATAGATCACAGATTAAATGGTGATATTCTCAAAACCTAATCCCTTTTTTCGGATAAAAGTAAAGAGAATCTTTGTAATCAGAGTAAACATAGAAAGATTTAATCTGATTAAAGAATTTTGTTTAAAAAAACTTGGCTTTTCTTTATTTGAATATTTGGTTTTAACTATAAACATATAAACATATTTTGATTCTTTGGAACTATATACAGCTCTATGTTTAGTCTATTAGGAAACATGTAGCGATTTGTAAGGTCAGATTTGCTTGCAAAGTTCGAAGCAGCAAAAATAGTTTCCTTGAATTTTCAAAGGAAAGCATCTTGGCTACATCAAGGCTCAATGGAAACACATTGAGAGGACTGGACAAACTCATGAGTAATTCAAGGAGTTCAAACAAGAGAGAGTTTTCTGTTGGATAGGATCACTGCACTACCAAACAACCCAGATCATATATGGCAAGGGATTATTTCAAAATAAAATGTTTTTAACCACTATTTACCTCAAACTACTGCCCCTTTCACATTTCTCTACTTTTGAAATATAATTAGAAAAGATATTTACTTAATCTTTGTTATTTTAATTAAACTGTAGGAAAAATTGGATATGGATCAAAAACAAATATACAGGAAACACATGTTTTTTAATTTCAGCATTTGTAAAAAAGAACTAAGTAAATGATTATAGATTATAAAATTTTATAACATCATAAAAATTACAAAGTAAATCAGTTTACCTTTTCTGTCACTATGTTACATTGATGAAGCAAAAAAACACAGAGGTGCAGTGGGAACTATACAATTCAGCTCTATATTTCATACTACTTATACCATCATCTTCTAAAAGGTCTGATAAATGTAAATGCAGAATTGAAATGTCATTCATAGCAGTATTTGAATTTTTGACAAGCCAAACTTTACCAGATAATTGTCTGTAGCGTTTGATGTCCTAGATTAAAAGCATAAAAAAATCTGACTAAATAAATCACAGAACACGCTTTTGTTGGGACAACAGATGCTAGTATGACATCTACAGTCAACAGGGTAAAATAAGGGGTTCCTTTGTCTTATCTCACAGAAGGCAGAAAGTGGGCTAATGCTGCTGAGACACAGGCTGGGGTCTGATATACCTTGGCAGGAGAGTGTTTGATCGTTGAAAGCAGTTAAACTCCTAGTGACCCCAGTTTACATCCCTGAGGAGGTGTCCCAGCACACCTGCTAGATGTATCTTTGAAATTTAACATGATATCATATTTGGTGGCCTTTATGGGATAAGATCAAGTGAAGCTGCTGCTGAAAATGCACAACAACGTAAACCTACTGCAGACCCACTGCTTCTCATGATGGTTTGTAGTTTTTGACCCACATGCAGATTCACATGGTTTTAACCTACAATTTTTCTTCCACAGTAAATTTCTGTGAAGCTGCCACAAACACTCCTACCATTCTTCAATAATCTTAAATTGTTAAATAAACAACACTGCACTGGCCATTTTGGAAGTGGTATATAAACTTTCTGTCATAATCTCAGCACTGATGCCTGGTCTGATCACTCATTTCGCACACCTGCTTAACTCCGCCCACTTCTCATTATTTGCTCATCTAATCCACCTACATTAGACACTATATAACCAGCATTCAGACCAGTCATCAGTTCAATTATTTTGAGCTATTGGTGACATTTATTCCAGCATTCTTAGTTCTCATTTTTGGATCCTAGCTTTGCTGCTTCTTGACTTCTGAGCCTGCCTGTTCCCGTCCGATTCTGATTGCCTGACCTGTCTTCCGGCTTCTGCCTTAACTGACTAAATGTCTACCGGTCTGATCTCTTTCCGTTGTGTACCAACAACTGCGTCCATCTGTTCTGAGCCTGGGTCTTTCTTCTCTTTTTTTCTGCAGTGCCGCTTGTGATGTTGATCACTGCCTCTCTGTGGTGTTTATGAGTATTGCAACTACATCTGCCTCAACTATAAATGTGTACTTCTACGGGCTCACTCACGGCGCATAAAGACCAGCGTGAGATCCCAACATGCAAGTATATCTCCGCCTTAACCCCAAAACAAAACAGCCCCACACCATAATGACCTTTGCACCACCTTACCCAGTACAATAATGTAGAGTATCTTACAAAAGTGATTTACATGTTTGGTTATGAGTTGTCAAATGAAAATGTCCATCTTATGCCTGTATGGCCATTTGTCATTTAGATCTTTAGTGTTACAAAATCTCTGGTTTGGAGATGAGCAGGTGTGTTAAACTTTATGTTATTGCCTTCATATTACTCTTTACTGTAAGTTCAATATATTATACCATTTCACAGTATGGTGAAAAAAATGTTCTGAAAATAAAGAATTGCCATAAAGATGGTCTTGTTTGTAAAGAAAAAAAAAATATCAACAAACACTGTTAATTACTACTCAAATTATTTATACATTGAAAACATTACACCGATTTTGCAAGGTTTAATTATCTGTTTATTTATTCTAATGCAATTACAGTATTTCATGACTCAAAAAGTGTAGGCAATCACAATTCCTTTCGCTTTTACTACTAATTGCTTGTGTACTGTACAATGATACATGTTTAAATTATTTGAGACAAATTTTGATGTTTTCATATGAGAACCAAAGCTTAAAAATACACAAAGACGCTCTATAGAGCTAAGCCCTGCAGTCTGCTGATAGGTCTTAGCAGCTTCATTACAAGAAGTAATTCCAGTCTATGTTAATTTGAAAATATTGATTATTGTGCAACTGCAAGCCATTTACTTTTAGGTTACATAAGATTGGAGATAATGAACATGTTTTTCTTCTACCAAGCAATTACTGTAGTTAACCTTTGGGTTACATTTAGCATTTAAGTTCAATCTTTTGGATTAGACATGTGATCAGTCCAGGAAAGTTTTTCTTCTAAAAATACATAACTAACCATAAGACGAGATAAAAATAAAAAGTAGTTATTGTAAATATTTATTTATAGGGGAAACATAGGTGGAAGCATCATCTAGAAATGAGGCTTACTAAAAAAAATGAAAACTCAGATTTCTGTCAATAAATATGTTTAATAACAATTATCTTAAAGGCATACAAAAAACCCTATCATCCTTTTTTAAACATAACACAATAGGCCGAGTGTTCATCCTGATCGTGTTTATTAAGTTCTCTTTTAGACAAATTACAATCTGTCTACAGAGCATGATCGGCAGATTTAAATATTGTTTTGCATATCTGCCTACATGATTGAGCTGAGACTGCTACCACTAACTCTGAGGCGATGAAGGTCATTTGGCAGAATCTTTCAAACTGATTGGGCGAAGGGACACCTAGTGCCTGCCTACCAAAGTTTGGTAGCAACAAATGAGAAAACACAATGCTTTTTATCTCTCCTGCTGTGCCCCTTTCAACGATCAAATCTGGATTCTGACAAAGCAGATGTGATAGCAGCATATGTTCTCTGTGCTGCCATTTTTATTTCGGTGAGGATGTGGGCTCATCAGCTCTTACATTCCTCACAGCTATATGTACCACCTAAACCATAGTACTCTTTTTGATTAGAATCAAACAGTTTAACTTGGAGTGGTACCAGATAGATTTTCATGGGTTTGTTCGCGCAAATTCAGTGAAAATGCAGCTTAAAGGCAAGTTTAACATCCATCTTCTAGGCAGCAAAATCTGAATGCTTTTGCAACTTTAGCCAGTGCTTTACATAACGCCAGTGGTCTAATATACTCCAAGCGCTACGAGTGTCTTATCCCTTTTGGCATCCAAATATGTATTGTGCAATTTTACACTTGTTTTGACAAACTGATCAGGAGGGCCGGTGACGTTGTGGGGGAGCAGCTGGACACTCTGACCACCGTGGCAGAGAGGAGGATGCTGTCCAGGTTTCAGTCCATCTTAGACAATGACTCACATCCTCTCCACGACACACTGGGGTTAGGCTCCTTTTACTCAGATGCACCACATAGCACCACAGGAAATCATTCCTACCTGTGGTCATCAATCTCTATAACGCCTCCCTCAAGTGATTCAGACCCCCCCCCTGTAATTGACATTTATGCACTATTTTAGCACGCCACGTATCACTTTACTTGGATTTATCACTTTAGTTGGATTTAATTTTTACATATGTATAAAGATATACATACATAAATATATATACAGAAGAGCTATATGTGTATATATTTTATCTCTTTTTTATTTTAATTTTTATCTTTATTATCTTGTGTAGTTGGACGTGTGTATATATATATAAAACTGTAACTAGAGCGTGTAACAAGAGTAATTTCCCTCTGGGATTACTAAAGTATTTCTGATTCTGATTTGATCTTGGACTTTTCCTATTTCTTTTTGTGCCTTTGCTGGACGTTACAGACTAGCTCAGTTCCATTCCTTATTTATGCATTAGGTACATGTGTTGAATCATGCCTCTGGTCATATGGTGGTGTTAAATATACACAAAAGTGCTTATATTAGAAACACAAACAAAAAAGTGCTTTGTTTACCAACACAAAAAGAAAAAGCAAAGTGCAAAATACACAAATAATCCATAAAATAATAATAATTTACAATAGTTTAGTTGGAAAACCTTTATAGGCAGATCTACTGGTGTAGATGTATTTGAGTAATAGTACATGACCTGTATTGAGTGAATTTTCTGCCAAAAACATAGCACACACACATAAAGCATGTTATCACTCAAAAATAAGCATGTTGCACTCAAATAAATCTTATTTTTCACAAATAAAACTTGTTTTACAAATTATCCTCAAATGTCACCCACAAACAAAGGGCTCAAGGGTTCGTGGGAATTCGTCCAACCAGTCCATATGTGTTTTTTGGATTTCAACCGTGCCCCTCATGGTGCCCTGTGGGGGGTGCTCAGGAAGTAGGGGGTTCTTGGCCCTCTGTTAAGGGCTGTCTGCGCTCTGTATGACCACAGCAGGAGTTTGGTTTGCATTGCTGGCAGTAAGTCAGACCTGTTCCCGGTGTATGGTTGTCTCCGCCAGGGCTGCCCTTTGTCACCGGTTCTGTTCATTACATTAATCGACAGAATTTCTGGGTGCAGCCAGGGACCGGAGGGTGTCCAGTTTGGAACCTCAGGATATCATCTCTGCTGTTTGCAAATGATGTTGTCCTGTTGGCCCCATCAAACCACGACCTTCAACATGCCTTGGCGCAGTTTGCAACTGAGAGTGAAGTGACCAGGATGAGGTTCAGCACCTCCAAATCCAAGTCCTTTGAGGAGGCAGCTTCAACTGCCTCCTGTTGCCTCTGGGACTCGGCCCCGGATAAAGTGGAAAAAAAAAGATGGATGGATGGACATATTTCCAATCTTGTTTATGTCCACTTTATCTTCGTTGATGCGCATCACATCAACATAGCAGCGTACTCAAACGTGTAGAAGACTATTTTGCAATAAAGCTAAATATTTTTGGTTAATCATTATTAGAAGTATTGCAATTACGGTGATAAAAAAAAACATACACAACTAGTCTGTCCTACTGTAAATTGATTAAATCTAAGCCCTGATACTGATATAAAAAATGCGTAGCTTCTCTTTAGACAGTACAGAAAATCACTTAAAACCTGTCTTTGGTCCAAGTATTTAAAATGGGCTAACCCTAATTTCAACTTTGAGCACACTTTAACAATTAACGCATTCCCTATCTACATTTATTGTTAGAACCTAGTCCTGTAAAATGCTGGGTATAGCAAAACACATAAATCTCTTTTTTATAACAAGTATTATAACTAACACACATCTATGGGATCTGAGGTTTTTCTTGAACACTGTTATGCATCTATGCCTATTGCTTACCTGCAACCCCCAGGACCCAGTGATTGGAAGCCAGCCTGACAAGTGTCACACTTCTCTCCTGTCACACCAAGTCTGCATGGACACCTTCCTTCTGCATCACACTGCAAACTCACTGAGCCTGCAGGAAAAACATATAGAGCATTCAGGAATACAAGAGAATGATATACATTGTACAGGGAAATAGTGTAAAGTACTTTAAAAAGAAAAATGACCACAAAAAGATTACTGGAATTTACATTAGACAGATCAATAACTCAACTACACCCTTTATTCAGAATAGGAGTTAAGAGAACCCTGTTATTGACTTTCCTTTGACAAATTTTAAGTATAATCATGAAAGAGAAGGGTATAATCTATCTCCTGCACTGATATTGGGAGACGTCAGCTAATGGACGTAAAGACCAGCTGGGGCATAAAGAGGAGAATAGAGGGAGCCTGATGGAGTCTGTTATAACCTTTGATCAATATAATGGACTCCAACAGCTCTTTGCAATCACCTTTTACTATTTATATTCAGGGCAAAGATGGTAGATATTCTCTCCCATTTTCCTCTGTAACCTGACGACAGTGACTGAACCAAGAATTCCTTGTGGTTTAATGAGGTGTGAACCACTTCACTGACTCAGCTTGATCAAATCACTACTGCACGTCTGAGTGAAATCATTTTTTTAATGATCAACTGATTATAAATTTGAGAAGATGTTAAAGGCATCAGAGTGTGGAGGTGCAATCCTGCCATAATTTATATTACACTAATGAATACAGTATCAGACACAAATTGATCTGTAGTTATTATCATTTATATCTGCACTATTATTTACATTTTATAAGATCTCTCTATGTTTTTCTTTAATTTTCAACTGTTTTTTTTTTTTCTTTCAGTAGGCGCTGAGCCTTATTATACCTTCCTGTTTTTAAAAGGTGTTAGAAACAGTATATTCTCTGACGTTGTTGCTAAAGAAGTTTAGTGTGTTGCAGATATGGGAGTATATATGGCTGTTAACACTGTTGACTATAACTGAAAAAAGATTTGAGTCGTTTGCCAAAGTATTATGAAGGCATCCATATTAATAAATCTACTTTCAAAATAAAAGAGTGGTTCATTGCTATGTGTTCGAAGATAGAAATTTATTTTAATGTTGACACAAAAACTTTTTAAAGGCAATAACCTGAAGAATATGTATACGTTTAAGCCACAGAATTACATTATAATAATAAGCAACAACTTAAAATTGTTTGCAAATGTGATGGGTGCAAAATCAAAAGCAACAAAAAGCTGTAAAATCAAAAGCTCAACTCAAATATTAAGGTTGAGATGACAGCGTTGAAGGGGAACACTCTAAAGAATAAATATAAACTTGAAAGATAGATACCGTTGGATCTTATTACAGTAAACTAATATTTTGCGAATGTCATGAGGCTGGAGTGCAAAATTGAAACCATCATAAAACTGTGCATCAAAAGATGAAAAAGATTGCGGGCTATTTCCACAGAGAGACAATCTACAACACCAAAACATCACTAACATTCACAATTTTGATCAAACTGTAATTCTTCTGGACTCCCTAGCAGCAAAGTGTGTATCAAGCAGATGGCGCCAAACTCAGCCGACTTTATCACCTGATTATGATGTCATGCTGGGCTCTCAAACTCACAATTTGACATAACATTTCGAAACACGTTTTGACATAACCCAATAGTTTTAAAAATACAATATCCTGTTTTAAAATAAATGTAAAAGTTTGCACACTAAGATAAGAGCTTGGAAAAATGCTGCTAACAGTGTTTCTCTAGAGAAACAAAAAAAAAAAAAACAACTTTAAAACTCTTAATGTAGATCGGTATCCCGCAAGGATCTGTTCTAATCTTCATTTTGATTCCTATTTTTAGAAGTGAGTGAAAACAAGGACCAACTATAGCTATTAGAATGCTGATGAGACCACTAAATAAAAATTGTCACCCTAAATCAATTTATTAAGCTTTAACCAAAAGCTTTTTAGGTTCTGGTGCAATCGAGAAGCTCCAAGAACACAAGATCTAGACACTTTTTTTTGTTATTATCCTAGATGGTATAGCTATAGAAGGTCCCCTCACCTAAATATGTTAATGATTTGTTAAAACTGCTGTGACTTAAACGGTCTTTTTATTATTTGAAAAAAAAAGTGAATTTCCTTTTCACACACACAAAATCGTGTGCAATCTTATTTCTCACTGTGTTTGATATTAAACATGCAGAATTCTTCTCCTCTAATAAAAAGGATGCATTACACTAATCATACTAATTATTCTGATAATCATCATTATTACAATTTAAAGCTACAGTGTGTAATTTTCAGCGACATCTAACGTTCAGACTGCAGACCGCGGCAACATGAACATCTCCCCCCCACCGCTTCTCCCCCCCAACAGTACGGCGAGCGTTAAGCGACAAAATGTCTTCCACGACGTCCGCATCACCTACCTTCTCAAGTGATGAGGTTTGTTTACAGAGATAATTTAATACTGCCATCTATTGTTCAGTACCGTCTCAGTTCATCTCTCTCAACTTGCCGTAGTTACTTTCGAGCGTAATGGGCGATCTCGCAATGGCTAGTTTGTTGGCTCTGCGCTGCCGTAGCGCAAAGATGTCTGCCTCCATGGCTGCGAGACCCGCTCCTATGTAATTATAAATAACGAATTCTAAGGCAACGCAAATATTAAGGTTAAGAGGCTGAGATCGTAGATGATGATAAATAACATAGTTATGTATAATATATCACATTTCTGACTGTATATCCCTGTAATTATTACACACTGTAGCTTTAAGGAAGCCGTTACCTAATATTTGACCTGTTATTGAAAATCAATTGATAGTTTTAGTTTATAATATTAAAATATTCCAATAAAGTATGTCATTTTTCAGCATTAACTGTTGCATCTTTAATATCTGCTTCTTTTATCACTACTTTTTTTTAGAAAGTCTTGGTTAAATCTGTTAAGGTATCTGTTTACTCCATACTATTGACCAATGCTCTATTTCAATGGGACCTTTCTGGCTACTTAAAACTATGATATTACTATTCTACTGTATCTGTATTCCTAATTTTCATAAGCGCACATACAGTAACAAATAGGGATGTGTATTGATGTGTGATGGTTATAACTGAGAAGTAAGGCTTACTCAGTTAAGCTTTATATATTTTCAGCTTACCATTGATATTGCAGTGACAGGGTAGGCAAGGTTCTTCTGGAACTTTCCTGTAGTGGTTTTCCTTGCAGCGTTCACAGTGGGCCCCATCAGTGTTGTCTCTGCAGCTCACACAGCGCCCCCCACTGCCAGTGCTCCTATACAGCTCCATGTCAAACACGCACTCGTTTGATCTCCCACTGCAGTTGCACTCTGCAAGTAATGTAAAACGACAGCAGGAGAAGAGAAAAAGGCAAAGGGTCAAGTAAGTAGGCTCAGTAAAACCAGGAAAAGATGTAGCCCAGAATGAAAAGCATTAGAAATAGATGCATGGGGAGAAGCACAGAAACAGGGAATACAGTATGTGTGAGGGATTATGTATTCTGGGATTGGATCATCATTTAGAGGCTCGTTGCTAATCTCATTTCACACGGGCCTAATGAGAAGCCAATCGGCTGTCAGGGGGCACTTAGATAACAGTAATTCATGTTTATACAAGAGCAAATTACTCAGCTGATAACACACCATCAAAGGCTTCATAGCCCTGGTATCAAATCCTTCTTTAGTTTACCACTTACCCTGAGGGGGGACTTAGGTGAAATTGCCCATTTTATTATGAATCCAGCTCTCTGTTGTGCTGAAAATAACCATATGATAACTATTTCCTTTTAATGAGAAGTCTCAGCAGTACTCACCTTACATAATCTGGTTATATAAAACCTAGCACTGCAGTGCTGGTGTTTTTAATGAATTTATTTTAAGTAGTTGTAAATGCTGTTTACAAATATTTAGTCAATAAAAGTTTAATAAAAACACAGTTCATACAGTAGCTTGCAAAATTTTTAGGCTTTTTACATTTTGGTTGTAATATTATACATAAAAAACAGTATTTTGAACTTAAGTAAATAGTGCATTGTTGTAAAGTGAAAGATAAATGGCTTTTTGGCTTTTTATCCAAAGAGAGAGATATACATTTATATTTAGCCTCCTTTAGGTCACTGTTGCTTTATGCTGGCCAAAGGGGTTTCGCAGAGAACATTTGGCAACAAACAGAACAATGAAGACCAAGTTGTACCATTGAATAGTCAAAATAAAGTAAAATAAAGTAAAGATGTGGAGATACATGTGGTTCTGAAGCACAGTGAGATTATAAAATGATATCCCACTTTTTAGGGCACTCTGCAATGTGAAAAAAAAGGAACCAAACAAAAAAATCAATGACTGAAAACTAGCCAGGATGTCTACTTTGAATAGCAACATGAAATTTTAACTTAATCAGAAAGATGCAGCATCTTATACTTCACATCATCGTATACACAGCATCTCCACCATGAATCATGGTAGTGGCAATATCATGCTTTTCTTTAGAAGTTTTAAGAAAAAAAGGTGAGAATGAAGCAGAGACGGATAGAGCTAAATACAGGAAAACAAGAGTCTTAAAAAGACTTAAGATTGTGATGGAAGACAAAAAAATAGCAAAGTATTGCCTTGGCTAAAAACAAATGTACCATACAGTTTAAGTGTTTTTTTTTTTTTTTTTTTTTTTTTTTTTTTTAGACCTGAATTTGCACATCAGGTGTATAATTTGTTTTATAATTCAAGCTTTAGAAATATATAGTATGTTGTTGTTCCAATGCGTTAAATAATCATAAAGTATGTTGAGGTTTCACAGTGGTGGGGGGTGGAAACTACTGTACAGAGACATTACTGCAGGCATTAGGAAGTTTTTTTTTTAATATAATTTCTCTGCTATAATTTACATTTTGTGCTTCGATTCCCTGAAGTTCCTTCAAGTATCATGCTTGTTTAAAATAACGTCTACAATCTGCAGATGATGATAAATCAGGTCTATTACGCCTGCTCACTGTGTGCGCAAAGCACAGCTACCATATCCTGCAACCGGGAAAAAAAACCAACAGCAAACCAGCTAACACACAGACTTGTGCACACAACCAAAACTGAACAGATGTGCTGTTTCTCACAGACTTGATGCCTGAAAATAGATAAAGTTAAACCACTGTGCAAGTGTGGAAGAAGACAATGGTTAAAATAATTTTTATCTTTTCCTTCAGTTTTACAAATATTGGAAAAAAGAAAATCATTGCAATACTAGAAACATTTGATAAGAAGCATATACATAGAAGCCCTGTGTGATTCAGGAGGAAACATGGGAAAATCTGTTGGAATAACTGATTTAATTCAGATATTAACATATTACAGTGAACAGAATGAATATGCAGTTGGTACCATTGTTGATTTAAAATGAAAGCATTTAAAATAATCAGTCACTCAGAGGTTAATTTTGGTCCTAAAGTAGTTATTCTATTTACAAATTAACCATGCAAGATATCAAACAAAATAACATCTGTTTTATTTCAGTTGACATGCACATTTTGGGGGTGAATGATAAAAGCATTAGGAGATGAATTCCCATAAAATGCATGCCTTTGTTAGATGGTTTAATAGAAACATACTATCACTGAATGCTAATAAAGCTAAATCAATTAGATTTAAAAATAGCATAAAATTAAATAAAGTAAGTGTAGGAGTTTAGAAAAACACTTTTTAGACTCTTAAAAATTTAGACATTTATTTTAGGCTACAATTCCAGGACTTAAACCATATGGTTGAGATAGGTTTTCTGAAAGTATAGACATAAGTTTAGTGTGTCATATGACATTATTCCTCATCTTAAAATTAAGTTAAAGAAACATGGGGCAAAACTAACTATAAACAACAAAAATTGAGCATTAAGAGAACCAGAAACATGCTTCATAATGTTGTGGGCCCATCATAGAAGAAGTGGAGATACCTAAGGAGAATAATTAAATTAAAAAAAATTAATTATTCATTATGAATAATTTTTTTTAATCTCAAAGGGAAATTAAATGTTTAAGTAATTCATCAACTTTTGTTGATAGCTGTAGGCAGGAAGGACCTTCTGTAAGAGTCTGTGTTGCACCAGATCAGGTGGAGCAACAGAAGTCTCTCTAGGACCTTCATGATGTCAGGGCAACAGATCTATAGTGACAAAGGAACGCTGGCTGAGTTTTCTTTGGTACTGAAAAAAGTCAGGCAGGTCTTCTTGAACACTAGTACGGTCTCCTTGGTAAGGCTAAGGTTGAAGAGGTACTGTAGAACCCTACAGAGCTGCTCTACAAAGGTCTTCGGCATTCTGGGGATGATACCACCTGGACCTGGTAACTCAATACCTTGGCTTCATTGGCGCTTTTTCCACAAATAAGTAACCACATCCAGGCTCGGAATATGAACAAATAACCACAAACAAGACTTTTTTGTTTCTGTTCAAAAGCATTTTTGTTTTGTGTTTTTCTCGAAATGGAAAATTTTATGCAAATAATTTTTCCAATTTTACTTTTCCCTTTTTGACAATGAAAAAGAGAAACACTGAATTTAAATTCATTTTTGTGTTTTAAAACAAAAATCAATTGGCCATTTGTTTTTGATGTTTTAACTCCCATTTTTCAAATGAAAATCCAATGACCAAAAGATACAAGGATTTATTAATAACCCTTAGCATTCTCTTCATCAGACTGTCACACAACAGCAGAGGGTGTTCAGTCAGAGGCTTCTACAGATCCGCTGTAAGACAGACTGCTACAGAATTCCTACAGCTTTAATCATCTACAAAAACTCATAAAGATAGAAATGAAAACATTTCCACAAATATAAAATTTCCACGTGAAATCACATAAACATTATAAAATTCAATAAAAAAACAACTGAAACAGAGCTTCTAAGAGCAAATATCAAGTGGAAAGCCCTCTTTTTTTTTCTCCATCATTATTTAGTTACCATCAATTCACAATATATACTGCAAAAGAAAAGGAAGAATCTTTCTTAGTTTAAATATGACTTTTGGCAGATAAAATAGTACAAATCTCCATTTGGATTTCCCTTGCTTAAAGTATAACTTCAAACACAAATGCATTTTTTTGACAAATATTGATTCCCTTTGCTATCATATTTACAGTCCCACTGGTCATGCTGCAACTGAATCTGACAAAAACTGTCCTCCTCCAACGCAGAAAGTTGCTGCATGAGTCAGGAACTGATTGGCACTGGTGGGCCGCCAGTGCACAAATTCAGCTGTCTCCACTTGTCACCTTCCATCCACTCTATCTTTATCATTCCAGCCAGTGGTGCTGCTGCCGCTGCAGGTCAGGCAGGCTGACAGCCAGGCAGCGGCATTATCAACGGCAGCCTAAGCCACTGGCACATTTCTGGTAGTGTTGCATGTACAAAGAGTCATTTAGTGAAGTTTGCAGAAATGTTGGACATCTGCAAAAAAAACTTTGGTGAATTTATCACTGTCAAGCATAGTGAGGGGATCAAAGCAGCAAACTAGTAACTATATTATCTGTTTTGATTTTAGTTTTGGCAAAAGCACATAATTTGCAAACGCAGCTAATTATTCTATACATGCCAAAAAAACAAAATTAGGTGAACTTATTGTACTGGGGTTGGGCAATTGATTGCATTAGCAATATAAACAAAATTTTAAAGTAAAAAAACTAAAATATTAAATCTTAAAACTGATTTTCAATCACACTATATTCAACTAAAGAATGACACTAGTTTTCTCCTTCCTGCCCTTTAGGTGGTGGTAAAATGCTTTAAGTGGTAGAGGGAATTGCACCTAGCATGCTGATCAATGCATGCAAGTAGAAGAAGACACTTTTTTAAACAATGGTTACAGTAAAGTCATTTAACAATGTTCTCTGGGCAAGCAAGCTTCCATAACTGAAAGCCTGGGGTGAAGCATCTACAAGCTCTATATTGTACCATACAAATTAAAATTTCAATAATTTACTTGATGTATAAAAGGGCCCGACAGATTTTGCTTTCACAAGTGGAGCAGTACGGCTATGGCCATAGTGTTCTACTTGATTTATCCATATAAATAGCTTTATTACAATCATGCAGGGAGTATTACAGATTATATTGACACTGCAATCCAAGTAAAACAGGAAAGGAAAAACAGAGAAAAAAAAAGGAGAAAAGATGAAAGAAAGCTGAGATAAAAGGGAGATAACAATGAAACATCTTCAGTCTGCTTCATCACCTTCAAAGAGATGTAAAAAGAACAGCACAACCAACGGATATAGTATAAGAGATACAATTAAGTAACACCTTGATACTATCGCTAAAGTATAAGTAGGATTATTTAATCTGACATGTATACTTTAGTA